CTCACTGTAGTATGCTGTCTTTAGTTTTTATTCCCTCACCACATATTGTGCATCAGTCTGTCATCAGGACCTGCTGAGCATGCACACACCAAGCTCTCACATACTTATGCCACATTCACATGAACACACACACACGTTCTCAAACAGGCATTCACCTAGCAGTGCTGGGTGCTGGCCTGTAGCAGTGCTGCTCACCAGTTCAACAGGGAAAGTCGGGAGGCAGAAGGCATGAGCCACTATTGTAACATCTCAGCAAGGGAAATCAGCATCCACCCTGCTGGTAGAGGTTATGCAGGAGCTCGTTGCTAGCCTGCAGTGGCAGGCTCATTCAGTTCTTAAGGAACCATGTAACCTCAATCTCTGCTTTCTTGAGAGGTGTTTTGGAATTGCTGAGCCCCTTGAGACAAATCAGATACAGGAGATGAGGAAGGTGTGCCAGCAGGAAGGAGTCAGCCTTGTGGAAATCCTATGATTCCCAGGGTAGTGTCCTCCAGAATCTTGCACAGTGGCCTGTGGGCATGCACAGGTGGAGGTAGGCATCACCATCCTTTAGGTGCCTCATGGTCTTGCCTTGGATCTTGATGGTGGTGGCCATAATATAGTTTCTTTTTTCTGTAGTCAGTATGCAGCAAGACATATTTGTATGAGTTGAAATGGAGGTTTGAGCTGATGTCTAGCATCCTGTGGAGTTTTGGGGTTTATTTGTGAGGACTAAAGTCAGAGATTAATAGAAAAGCAGGGCCAGAAAGGACCTCCGGAGGCAGAATCATCCCTATCCAAACCATGCCATATAAATCTCTGTCTGACTTATTCCTAAAACTGCACAAGGAACCCTATTGCACAACTACAAGGCATATTTTCCAAAGATACCAGAAGCACCCTAACCTACTACATGCAAAACAAGGGGCCTGTGGTGGTCAGTGTCCCGCTGATATCTGCCTAGGCTAGGATAGGCAGTTTTTATATGTAGAGGTTAAACTTTCCTGGGTCCTCAGTGATTTCTCTATTGAGGAGCTCTGTGAGCAAGTTGGGAACCATGGAGCTGAGAGGACAGCCTTGATTCATCCCAGTCCAGATCAGTATGTCTCATATTTTGCTCTCCAATAACCAGATAGTGGTGGCATAGATGTTTTACTCCTCCCCAACTGGAGGAACTGGGCCATCATCTTCAGCTCTTAGAGGATGCTGAAGATGTGCTGGTGGGCCATCAAGCCAAAGCAATTGGAAAGATAAGACATGCCACCATGCATTGATGTCTTGCTCTCTGAGTGTCATCAAGCATCATCTGCAGCAAAAGGTTGTGTTTGTAGCAACCTTCATTGGAAATGAAGCTTTTCTGGTTCAGGCCAATGGCATTTCTCTTCATTGCCCAGTCCGTGAGCTAGGCTGTGATGTAGCCATCAGAGAGTTTGTACATGGTGGACTACAGGGCAATGGGCCTCCAGTTGCTCACCTTTTTTATGGATGAACATGGTCATGGTCTTCTTCCAGGAGATGAGCATGTGATGAAACTCCTGCACAGTTGAAGAGCAGCATCAACACAAGACAGCTTGGGTCCCACTTCTTCAACAGGCTGTAAATGATGCTGTGTCTTTGGCTGGTGCTGTGTCCCTCATCCTGCTCAGCCTGGCCTCTGCCTCTCCAACACCTGATGAAGGTGCTGCTTTATGAAAGCTTATGCATCTCTGATTTAGTTAGTCTATAAGGTTCAAATCTACCTTGTCTTTTGCTTCTATCTCTCCTGGCATGAAGTCAGCCTTAAGCCCCTTAGTGGAGCTGGCAGCTGACAAGGGTCCAACAGATATAATGCATGGGTTGACTGGCCTTGATAGACACTGATCCCTATCACCCTCTGTCCATCTAGTGTCTCTGAATCATTTGGATGAAAAATGGCATTCAGTGGTCTTGACTTTTTAATGAAATTTGAACAACATTGAGGCTCAAGACTGGTCTTGACTACGGCCTGCCTGAACAGGCCTCCCGCCTTTTCTTCCACTTTTTTGCTAGTCAGCATCACTTTCCCAGCTTTGGATATAACTGTGGCACTATGGCCATGCTTAGCCAACAATCCAAAAATCCTTGGGACAGTCCTGTGGCTCTGGGAATCATTCCAAAGTTTGAGGTCAGGCAGGCAGGTATGGGGAGGTGTGGCAGAGCACTGCTTGTGCTGCCACTTTAAGGGTCTAGAGCTGGCAGCCAGCAGGTGCCTGATGAGGGCAGCCATTTTAGATTCAGTGCTGCCCATATAAACAGGGCATTCTGCTGCTGGAGGCCGGGCAACTACATTGCCTGGCTGCAGGTATCATCTGGAGGTAAGGGAGGAGCTGTAGGGGATGGTAAGGAGGCTCCTGGTTCTGGTTCTGGTTCTGGTTCTGGTTCTGGGCATGACCTAAAACTATGCCCTGCTGGGAGTGGGTGGCCTGGTGGGGCTCCCAGTGGCGCAGGAGCCCCCAGGAAATGCCAGGCCAGTTACCACCCCAGTGAAAGTTGGGTTGGGGCACCTTAACCCCAGCTCCCACAACTGGGTGGGTTACCCCCCCGTGTAGGGTCTGGAAGGTGGGCCCCAGCGGGAGAGTGGGGCCATAGACTCAGGCCTGTCTGAACATCCCCCGACTGGTCCATGCTGGGCCCAGGACCGGAAGGGCCGAAGGGCCGGGGGCCCACCGCGAGAGATGCCCAGAGCTGAGGGCCTGAGGCTCTGACTGGCTTGGAGGTGGGCCAGGGCCAGTAGAGCCAAAGGTCCTGGGGGGACCATACCCGTAAGGGGGAGCCGCTCAGGGAGCCATGCAGCCGGGAATGAAGACAGAATAGGCCACCTGAATGGAGGGATCTAAGTGGAGTTCACCTGGTAGGATTCTGGGGCCCAGTGCGGGGCCAGTGATATGGATAACATCTGGATGCCATCTGTGAGACTTTGGCTGCAGTGTAGGGGAGGAACGGAGCTGCAGATGGCACTCCCTCGCATTGGGGCAAGAAATGGGCAGCCTCCTGCTTTATTAACATCAATTAAATAATTAATAACAGGGCATGGTGGATGGTTAGCCCAGAAACAGGTGGGCAGGCTACTGGAAAATTGGACCCAAGAAGGCCCCCTGTTACAGGAGGGTATCTGGATGTGCTCTTCAGCGATACTGTGTAGCTGACTCAGGAAACACTATAAACCAGTTAAAGAGGAAATCCTCTTCTGGGCCAATAGAAATGGTAGAGGAAGAAAATGGGCAGATTTTGTTCCACTATGGAAGGAAAGAAAGAAATGTAGAAACAAAGGGAAGGTATGAAAAGAGCATATGTTTAAATGGGTGTAGGAAAGTGACAGAGAGAAGAGCAGAGGGAAAGAAAAAGAAGACATGAGAGCAAGACAGAAAGGTGGAAGCAGTGTAGTTAAGATATGGTACTTGTATCACGTTGGCTACACAAATACTTGGCCCGTAACCTCTCCCTACCCTCCAGTCCCCATTTGGAAAAAAAAACCACAACATTTCTGGCAGGTCCTGTTGAAGCCCTGTCACTTGTGTTCATCAATTCATTTACACATTGCAGAGAGGCCATGGATCATACCCTAAAGCTTCTGTGCAGAATGCTTCTGACAAACAGCCCTTGGCTCACACAGGTATATTTTACTAATGGAGAACTTTACCTTAGATGCCAAAAACAAAGGGAAAAAGGAGACATCTTCACCTTGGTGGTTTGCCTGCCTCTGATCAGTTGGCATTATCCAAAGACTGTCTTAAAGCTTTCCTAGAAAATGAATATTGGTTTCCTTCTGTTATCACAAGGACCTGGATTTAAAGGCATTTCCATCACTAGAGCTAAAATTATACTGATCTTGGGTGATCCTGGCAGTCCCATGTGCCTAAATCCCCTGGGGTCCTGCCAAATCACACTGAAAGACACAATTAATATCCAAAGAGGAGACTAGTAAAAAGAATTAAAAATGTTTCATTGGGGTTATATTGGTTTAACTGTATCAATTTAACCTTACAGCTATGATGGTACTGTTCTAAATGGTTAATCCTTCTTGGTTATCAATTTGAGGTTTTTCTGAGGATGGGGAAGTTTGTAGGGAAAGTGGTAATGCCAGATTGCTTTGTAATCCTGAATGCTATTTCAAGGCCAATGGGAAACTGAGTCCCCATTTTCTGGCTCCTCCTTCTTTCTAGGCTTCTGCTCTCTGGGACCTGGATGAACTGAGACTAGTGCTGGCAATTGCTTACTAACTACAACAGTCCCATCTTCCACAACTCTTGCTTGTCTCACATTCAGTGAGTGTTATGAAGACCAACTGTTTCCCTGATGTTCCTTCTCCATCTTCCTCCTTGGTTTCCTTTCCTTTCACAGGCTTGAATCCTTTGCCCCCTTTCAGCCAGAAGAAAGTTCTATTGGTATTTGGACTAATGGGGCGCATCCTGACGAGTGTGCACGTGCAGTTTGCGGTGCCGCAGACCCATCTGTGGTGCTGCAAACTGCACAAACTGCACACACCGCACATGCAGGCATTCGTTGTGCTGCTAATTTGCAACATGGTGAGGGGTTTTTTGACACTGAGAGATCCCAGTGTCAAAAAACCTGTACCAGGAAAAAAGTGGGGTGGTGCACATGGTGGTACTGTGCGTCACCTGAAACCAGAGCCTGACCGGCTAGAGCCATGCTCCAGCTGCCAGCCAGGCTTTGCACATCTAGATCACTGCCGCTGGAGCCCTGGGAGGTCCAGAGGGAGCTGCAGCAAATCAGCAATAGGGACCAGTAACTGGGGGACTGGTTACTGCAGTGACTTACTGCTGCAGGGACTAACATGGGAATAGTGTCTGTCCCAGCCTGCCCATGGCTTCTTGTTGCTGTTGGGTTTGTTGGGAAGTTCTCTTTCCCCATTCAGAAAGTCCCTCCCCTTTAGTGTCAAAAAGGATGTGTCACCATGGCACTTTGGGGTGAGCAGGTCTGAGACTGATTTTTATGTTGTGTGTGAAACAAACCACACGGAAATGATAAGGCATTTTAGGGTCTGTTTTTAATAGCCTGGAAGTTTTTTGTAGTTCTGCAGAAAATAAGAACCATGGGGGATAGAGAGGTGCAATATGAATGAGTCTGTAGCTTCCCTGATGCCACTTTCTTTTCTTTTCTCAATTGGCTTAGCCTTCTTCTGGCAGAGGAGGAATAGCTGGACGTTTCTCTTATACATCCTTTGGCGTAACCGCCTGCACTCGGTTTTGCATGTCCTTCTTTTTTACCTCTGCCCAGATGTCTGAGAGATCCTGGATAAACTGCTGGATCTAGAGTAGAAAAGAGAGATGGAAAGATATTATGGGTAGGGTTGGAAC